AGAAAACAATTCAACTTTTTTGAAAATGGTAATTTAGTACATGTAGTACTGGTTGTATCCTTTCAAGATATCGCCATGGTGGAATTATGGGTAAAGTGATTGAGGAATTATTTCATTTTTTTCTCATAACTTCATGTAAATCTATGATCAGCTCAAAATTAATAAAATTACAAATACATGTGTGTTCTGCCTCCTACCTAGTTCATTTGTCCAGCATTTTATTGGGACTCTTGTGGTTCCCAGATTTTCTAAATACAATACTGAATTGTTTTCTTTGATTAAATCAGTTTTCATTTTAGCTTGTCAAATTGGTCAGATATATCTATTCTGCTATTTAGTCTGAGTATAATGTGATTTCTATTCACTGTTACTTAATCAATGCCTGATATTCATCCACGACTGTGCATTGGGTTGGGTGTGTATTATCCCCTAAAGGGCTCATGTGTTGAAGGTTTGATTCCCAGTTGCCAGATTTTATCCTTGAAAGCTGATTATATCATGAGTTGTTACTTCAGAAATACCATACTTGATTCATAGTGCTTATGTGAATGGATTGATTGGTGGAAGTCTGCCACTGAGAGCTTTCATTACATGGTGTATGTTACCCCGGCACTCCCAGCTTCTGCTTGAACCACGAAGTGAGTATCTCTGATCTGTTCACCCTAGACTATGCCTGCTCCACCAAGGTGCTCACTGCTCAACTAACGGTCCATAGAAAAGATTACTGTACCTGAACTGAAGTCTTCAAATGAGTCATAGTAAGTATCGTCACCTTTAAAATAATTTTTCTCAGATATTTTGTCATAGTGACTGTCCCCAAAACAAAAACAAAAACAACAAAACCAAAACAACTATCTCAGTGCTCACCTCTAGAGAGGTGCGTGTGAAAGAGCTAATTTAGGAAGTGTTTGCAGTGCTACTTCATGAAAAAACAAAAAGAAAATCCATACTGAGCTTCACAGGTCGAGCTCTAGCTATGTAGCAAATTCATAATGTGGTAATATTTCAGTAAAACATCAATGAACTTATTGATCTGTTTAAAAATATTAATTGTCTATGTATATTGAGATTACTAACATTCAGGAAGCAATATAAGAATCTAAAACGACTGGTCTTAAGGAATCAAACACAAAATCCACACATGTTCACACCAACTCTGCTTCTGAGATATTCAAGTCTAACAGTCTTTTATTAAATCCTTTGGAAAATATTGCATAGGAAAAGCTGAGAAATACAACCCATAATATTCCATTTCATTTCCTGTGATTGGATGGATCATAGCATAAAAGAAAGTTGTTTTGTTGAAAGTAAGGTGTCTGTCATATGCTGTCCTTGGAAAGTAAGGGTTGAGATGTGTGAAGTGCTGGCAAGTGGAATGGGTAAGGAGGAAAGCAGACAAAAACGAGAACCAGAAAAGCAAGGTGCTATGGATGATGTGATCACTGTTTAAAGAAACTGAGTGAAAACATGGAGAACGGGGAAAACACATGCAATACCTCTCCATCCTAAGCCAATATATTCCTGTTAACAGCTTACATGCATCTTCGTATAGTGGAACTAACACACATTGGGAAATTCTGCTGGTATGGGAAACAAAGAAAGACAATTACCTAGTGTTTAATACCCTGACAGTATATGAAGGAATCAGGGTGCCACTGTGATCAGAGGGCTAGCCACAGGAAGTAATGGTTAGAGGCCAGTCCAAGTAAAAGCATGACTGTGAGAGCACAAACCCAGATGATAGAGAGGAGAGAGTGTCATTTGCCCAGTTGCTCAAAATTTCCTTACCAAGGTTTAAGAAGAAGTTTCGGAAACATGCTGATTATAATTTCTAGCTTAAACATGGACAGAAAAAATTAAAAACCAAATTGGTATTTTCAGATGGTCTTTTCAATTAAAAAATATTTCATTTTAGTTGCAAATGCTATTGATTTTATGTGTGTATGCATAAATCTATATGATGAAATCCTATTTCCTAACTTGACAATATTTGGATATAGGGTCTTTACACACTTATTGGTCCTTAGAATTGGAATTGGTGCCCTTATTAAACACAGCCCAGGAAGCCCTCTCATCCCTTCTGCCATAAATGTAAACAGTAATAATAGGATCTTCCATGAACTAGGAGGTACACCCTCACTACACACTGAATATGCTGGTACTTTGATTTTGAACTTTCTATTCTTCAGAAATGTGATAGTAAATGTATGTTTGTTGTTTATGTCACTCACTCGCTGATATTCTATTATAGCAATCCAGAGAAGGACAGTGCACTAGCTAATAATAAATGTAGAGACTATAAAAATATTTGTTATAGGGTGAATTTTTTTCCTTTCAAAATTTAAGTTTGGAATTCTTTAACCCTAGTATCTGAATGTGTGTTGATATTTAGAAACTATTTGTCACATACATAATTAGTTAGGAAGAGGTCATACCGGAGGAGTTTGAGACCTTAAAATAATATTTCTTTCAACTAAATTAAAAAGAGATATTTGAAGATGCATAAATAGAAACTACACACACACACACACACACACACACACACGCACGGAAATTGCCATGTAAATATAAAGGCGGTTTGGTGATGTATTTGTGACCCCCTCCAAGAAAAAAAGCACTCTTTGAGGCAAGCGATACAGAAGGAGCATTGATGAGGAAATACAAATAGAAGCTTTGGACACTTCCTATCATTCCTAAGAGTACCCAGGGAGAAAGTCGCCAGATT